AAATATTATTATATAAAATTTTTTTAAAATATATTAAATTTTAACAAAATTAAATCATAAACAAAAATTTAAAATTTTAGCAGCCAAATTTGCTTGCTAAAATCTACAATTTAAGAGATAAATCTTATCTCTGTATCTAAATTATAACTAACGACATTTACAACTTAAGATTTCTTTTTTGAAATTCTTGCTCTTTTCTCTTTATAGCAGAGTTCAATTGCTTTTATCAGGATTTCTAATCTATAATATGAATTAACCATCTAATGATCTTGCAAAAGACTATTATGAACTATATAAAAAAATTTTTAATATATTGTGTAACTATACTAAAATCAATTTTCTAATTTAGATAATCCTATCTCTAATATAGCTTATATATATCTATATATTTGTTATAACAAGATAAACATAAACAATACTAACTGTTTTAATAAACAGAATATTAAACTTTTGAAGAAGATAAAATAAATTGATCACTTTTACAATTTTTTTTTTAAAAAAGTAAGAGCTAATGAGTTTGTATAAAGTTTTTCTGTAAGTTTTATAATTATATAAACAAATTTTCAAACTAATATTATCTCAGTAAAAACCTAACTACTACTTGCTTCTAGAATAAACCTAGTTTGGATGCTAAATATCTTGAAAAATTTGTTAAACATACAACCAAATTTGATTTCAAAAAAAACTATTTAAGTTATATTTGCTTTTCAATATTTTATGTTTTTTAAGCTTTGTTAACAACAATCTACTTAGAGATAAAAATAGTTTTTAAAATAAACCTTCTGGTTTGGATGCTAAAAATCTTAAAGAATTTACTAAAGACCAAGATACAAGTTTGATCTCAAGAAAAACTGCCCAAGTCATGCTTGCTCTTCAGTATTTTACATCTTTAAGCTTTATTGACAACTGCTTACACAAAAACAAAACTGAAATAGTATTTGTCTTAAACCTTCTTATACCATTTTTTTATAATTTGGTTTTATTGTTATGTTGATCAGAGGATCATCAGAAAGAGTTTTTTAATACAAACTTATAATTGTAACTATCCAATATAGGTAAAAATTCTATATTTTCTTTTATTTTTTTCTTATACTTCTTTTCTTGTTTGTATATTTTATTATACTCCTTTATATCTCTGTTTTTTTAAATAGTTTTTTCTTTTTTTTCATTTCTCTACAAGCAGATATCATTAAATTGACGATATTTTATTGTAGAGCAATGATCAAGCAAACTTCCAAAAGAATATTATCTTAATTGATTGTACCTTATTGATACAACTGATTACCTATAAACACTCACCAAAGTAGCCACAAGATGTCAGAACAATAGCTTTATTGCTATAATCTATTTTCTAAAAAAAATAATTTTATAAATTTTCTACAAAACCAAACTTTAATAATCACCTAAGTTGAAAAAAAAATTAATAATAATATTTTATCAAAGAAAACTTGTTAATATTTTTTTTGTTTACTATCAATTGTTGGATATTGTTTTTTAAATTATAATTTATCTCTTTTATTCTTAGCTTCTCTAATTTATTAAATTTTTGTGTATTAGAATTTTTCACCATTCTTTAAGATCTTTGATACTTCTTAAATCTAAATTTTTTAAAATGTTATTTTAAATTGCAGCCGAAATTAAACTTAATTTTGGCCAAATTTGAAATTACATCCTTGGGTTTTATTTCGCGCTTATAAGTGTGTAGCCTTTAAGCGTTTTGAAAACGTATTGACACGTATCAAAGAATTTACAGAGAAACTAGCGTGGGCCCGTCGCGTTGCTCATGAATGTATGCTATTTAAGTTGTATTAATATAAATATAAAAAAAATAAGTTAAGAAGTAATTATCATTTAACTTCATTTTATTAATCTGTCTGTAGCAAGCGTATTTATTATGTATAACCTATTACTTTGCCAGCAGTATGATCGTATAGTACCTCTCTCTTCACACAGTATCTCGGGATATTATTTTATTTATCTTGGCATTTGTGAAAAAGTCCAGGACACTGTATGTGCGCTGTACGGTAATAATGATTTTGATAATTGAGTAATTTAATAATCATCGATCACTATTTCAAGATCACGAGAGATTATTATGATTAACACCTGGGTAAGGATTTTCTTAACGGGTATAATATCTAATCCTATTACTTTTGATTCAGTTTTGAATTTAGACTTGAACAGAAAAGTTAGCTAAATACCGTTCTACTTAAAAAACCAAATTAAACCAAACTATACAGCAGATTAAACGCTTACAACGATTTCATCCTATGTGAGGCGAATCTTATTCATTTATTAAACCAAAAATTACAATAAACTAATAAAAAGTATAATATAAACCGGATATAAACCAGATGACTGGATGAACATCTATTTATAAATCGGATTAAAGAGCCCAGATTACCAATTTTCCGTCTATACCACTTGACGAAAAATGTGAAATATCATGACGTGGTCCTTGATAGGGTCGGATCGATCTAAATTTTAGGCCAAAAGCATATATATATGTTTGTTGATAAGGAGTAATTTTATTTAAAAAAAAAATAAATCATATACGTACGTAATATTGTTCCGATGAACAGTGTTTAATTCCGTCTCCTTTCCACCTTCTCGCGATTGAATTCCTTTAGAATCCCACTCCTGAAATCTGTTAAAAGCTGTTGCTTCAGCAGCTACCTTTTTCTTACCCACATCTATTACTTTAGAAAATTCCCTGTTGTTGAAATATATTAACCTTTGTTATCAACAAATTAACATTGTCACTTTCACTATTACTTCCTACCATTGTTGACCTTGTTTCTCAAATAATACAGGGACACAATCATAGCCGGCAGCAATCAATTTTTCTTCGGTAGCCCAGAGCAAACTTAAATATGGTAAGCCAGTTATCCTAATGTTTTGAGTTCCACTGCCTGCGTAGACGATACAAATTTGTGAATCATGACCTAGAAGAAGTATCTAATTTATTAAATGTAACATTAATAAAAATGGCAATCACAAAATTGCATGTAGTATAAACCTGAAAAAGCTAACGCATCACCACTTGGTGAAAAAGAAACGCTATGAATCCAACCACCACTTTCGTTTGAGAATTCACCGCAGATAGTATTAAACGGAAGTTTATCACCCCATGGTGATGGGGGTGGTCTAACAATGAGAGTAAAAATTCAAGTTATAAATGAGCTTGTGAATAATCTTATTGATATTACAAAAATTAATTGATTTTTTTTTTTACTTTTGATCGACACCCTTGATAAACGCGGAGAAAACACGTGCCTACGTCATAAGCATCGATATCAAAATTATGAAAATCTATTATAAATTTAAATCGAGTTATATTCAAAGATTAATACCTTGAAATCAGCACATCCAGCTGCCAAAAGTACATTGTTTGGATGCCAATCAAGGCTTAATACCGTACTTCTAATTGGTTTCTTAAGTTGTTTGCTATTCCACCAATCATTTTCATCATCAAAATAACAGATAGCTATGCAACGTGCGCCAGACGCTACAGCAAATTTATTTTCATGGGGTGACCAACGCACGAATGTAGCAGCACGATTCATTCGCAATAACACTAAAGTTGGCTTCCATTTATTGGTAACAGAGTCAAAGTTCCAAACATATGCATTACGATCCTGAGAACATGTAACTAGAAATACGCATTACTTAGTCCAAATTTTAATGAGAAATGAATGGCATTATACGAAAAAAGATTGATAGCTAACCCAATTGATTAGATTCTGGTGCCCAATCAATGCTTGTAACTAATTTATCATGCTAGATTAAAAAGAATTTATTAACTTTAAACTGAGCACAGGAACAATCTATTACAAAAAAAAAACATACTTCTGCTAATGCGTGTATTAAATTCCAACTCTTGCCACTTTTTTGATAAATATGCACTTCATTATTATTCGGGCAAACAGCGACCTCTGTTGAAAATAGCAGAAGGTACTTTAATTAATTGCATTTCAATGTAGCATGAATTTTAGTCAGACATACGTGTTCGGTCTTTATTAAAAGCATGGGCTGTAATCGGACCGAGATTAAGCTGGTGGATCTCGGTTGGTGACATTTTTTTGAGATGATAATGTTTTTTTAATTTATCATCATTATTTTTAGTCTCACGATTTTGTAACAATCATATGATTTTCGTAAGTTACACATGCCGAAGTAACATCATTGAATACGAATGTCTAATCCAGGGACCCGTAAAAATTTGGATTTTATTTATATGATTTCCAAATTTGTATAAATAATTTCCAAATTTTTACGTGTCCCTGGTCTAATCCTACTATGGGTGCTCTTAAAACCTAAATTAATAGATCGGAGCTCAATTTTTAAATTAATTCTACAAGTTTATAGAATTAGTTTAGATTTTTTATTAAATTTGCTTAAGTTATTGTTGAGTTATTTTTTGGTTTAAAGATTTAAAAAAATTTACTTAAAAAAAATTTGTTGTTTCTACTGACTCACCCCCATATAGTGGAAAATATCTTGAGTCCATCATCGCAATGAAAAAAATGGTCGAAGCTATCTTTTTTTGTCACAGAATTGTGCTAATTGGCTAAAGTTTAATATCTTCATTTCTGTATTTAGGGATCATCTAAAGCCAACTATCTCAAGAATACCTCGAAAGGCTAAACGGCTTCTGATATTTACAGCCGAAAGCGTTAACCGAAAATCCTCTGTGGTTATCAATTTGATGATAAATTTGCAATGAAGATTTGAGTTATATTACAGCCTGAAATTGTTTCTGGGGCTCTGAATTGCCACATAGAATTAGCTAAGCAATACATGGATTCTTGATCCACAAAAATGGTCTATTGCTGATGAAGTCAATTAGAACTTGAAAATGGAATCATAATACAAAAGGTTTGGATACATATGAAATTAAAAAAGCAATTGCTATAGGATTGTTTACTAATTGACGTATTTAAAAGATGCTATATTTTAAGTTCACAAATGCTTACATTATACTATTTCAATATTCAATTTTACGAATATTTACATTGTGTTACATTTTAGGTTCGTATTAATGAATATAAGGAACACTTTTTTAATCGATTTAATTAAAATAAATTATTCATATTCGTGAATACGTATTTACAATTGCACCATACCTTAATTTTATTTTAATATTGAATGATCCATTATTAACCCCAACCACTTCACTATCTTTAATTTGGTAGAAATGAATTGAATGACCATAGGTTGTCTTACGCGCATCCTCCCATTGTCTTGCGACATGAAAATCTGATTGAGGATCTTCCTAGATCAATTTTATGCATTAGCGATATTTCAAATAATATTCCATTTTATTTTCTTTCCATCGAATAGGCTAAGAGACTTTAACACAGGGAAGCTAAGAGGTTGCCTGTGCCCTCAGCGTCAGTTCTGTGACAAAGAAGCTAAGAGATTCCCGCCACATATTTCTATCAAAAAAAAGGAAATTACTCGCCTTACGATAATAACTATTAAGGAGCTGTTCTGCTTTTTCGCGTTTTTTTCCTTGCGTAGAATTCATGATGTGTTTGAGACTTTTTATATACAAAAGTCTATCTTTAATCTAAATGGCTCTTCGTTGCTTTCGCACGTCCGTTTAAAATATTTGTGTATTAATTTATCAGACATTTATCGTGAAGCCAATACAGCAATAGTCAATCTGCGAATTTATAGACGCGTATTACAGTCCGGTGTTTTTCCAAATATGGTATTTCTAAATTTAGTAATGATCTACATCATTTGACGCTCTAACAATATTCTAGAATTTACTAATAATACATAAAATTGATTGGCTATTAATGCTACCATACTTATAATGTATTCTTGAACATGTTTACTATACATTATTTATTAACATTTGGCATCAAAATTGTGAATAGAACATATATAAATTTGATATAATATAAACATTTTTAAACAGAAATACT